TATCGTAATGCTGGTGGTGTGAATAGCAGCTAAGCTCACTGTCAATTGATCATGGGCCAATTGCTTCACATCTATCTTTCCACCCTTCTGCGGGGTATGTGATAGTAACCATCTGATAAGTTGTCCATCATTTTGTTCTTCGGCTTTCTTTTCCCACTCTGAGGGATCGAGTGCGGCTTCGCGTTCTAGGAGTGGTTTCAACAGTTCTTCGGCTTTCTTGTGCACACCAACTAAAGTTCGGAAATATAGGGGTGCCAGAATTTTACGTTGCCACCAAGGGCGTTTCCAGAGCATTCCAACTGTTACCCCGAGGATTATCGTGTATGCAATCGTCGCTTTGATCCACTCTTCGTCACGGCACAACGGCGCACCAACAAATACTCTTCCAGATAACAATGCAACCACATTTAGTACCTTTCCATACACTGACACGTTCTTCCATCCTTCGTCGTCATCCGGCAAAGTTCCGATGTTCTTTTCGAATGCGTAGTCTACCTCATCCCATAACGTATCAAGGGTTTTCGAAATGTTCCGAGTAAGGTCCTGCTTGATTGAATTAAGAATCGGTTCGGAGAAAATTTTCTGGTCTTTTTTGAGCAAGAGGTGAGCCAGATGTCGAGCGTACACTTCTTTTTCAAATGATATCTTTGCTTCTGGGAGAGACTTTATGATGTTGATGGCTGAGTTTGGCAGAATGACAATGGGAACACGATCGGCCGGTACAACGTATGGCGAATTTGGGTACTTTGTAGGATTAGTATTAACCGCATGTTATTCTGGAGTTTCAAAGCTTACAGTTTGAGTGCCGATTTCTAGCGACTCACTAACATTGACATTTGGTTCCACTCCTACAATCGGTAAATCGAGATCTTTTAACCTCTCGAGCAGCAACTCTTCATCGGGCCTCTGAGTCCATGCAATTAAGATGGGAGCTAGAACAAAGAATCCTAAGATCAAAAAGATACTGTTCCATTCTAACTCCAGAGGGTTTCGAAAATTGATTTCCTTCAATCTTTGATACATTTTTCCAGATTGGTTTGGAAATGGAGAATTCTGTGACGCATTATTTGGGATTCATCGATACATATGTGTGGAGCCCGTTCCGCTGCACCTTTCGTCGGTTGCCTTCGGTGTTCATTGTAGATCTCCGAAGCAGGTGGGGATTGACTTTGGGGAAATTTTTCACGGATGTTGGGTCTCAACCAACGAACGTCACCGAGCCTCAGAATTGGAAAGTGAAGTTTCTTGAGCTCTAATTCGATGAGCTGGTGAATAATCATTGTCCAAATTGGCACTCCTATAATCAAGGGTCATCCAATCCTTCACCAACAACACAGATATCGATTCAATCAATCAACTATCCGTCCACTCTCTCCATATCACCAATCATTTTTATACGTGGTATCATTCAAGCAAGGTTATAGTTGTCGCTGACACGATTGTTGTTCTATTTGCCACGCTTACCACCCAACATCCAATTTACTCGGGGACTACATGTTTTTTTGCCATTATTTCCTCTCTCCACGCCCACATTACTATCAAGCCTACACCTGGTCCCGCCAAAAAGGTAGAAGAGAGAAATATCGTCAAAATCAAAAGCCAGCTTTGCTTTAATTTTCCGACGAATTTTAAATCGGCGAAATGAAGAAATGTCCAATAAAATGCGGCACCGTATAAAGAGGTCTGTTTCGCCGCCCAAAGCTCCGAAAAAGCACCCAGAATCGCCTGAATCGGCTGAATTGGAGGTTGCAGCTCTTGAGTGAGGAAAGCTATCGATGTTGAACTACTGAGGCTTCCGTACAGATAAAACGCTGCACAAATAAGAATGGAAATGCTGTATGAAATCCGTAGATACGTCAAATCTGCTGTAGGCTTGTATATCCTGTTTAGTCGAGTAGTGTCCTTCACGATAAATTTCAGAATTCTCAAAAAAATGGTCAAGTAGACTGGATACCAATACCAAGCATTGTCGTATATCCATTGCGCAGACTCAAGCTCGATAGAGCTCCATATGCAATAGGAGGGACCCAAGAAAATCGAAAGTATTGCCAGAGGCAATATTTTTGCGAAAGCTATATTTGTCAGTCGATTATCAAGGGCCGCAAAATTTTCCTGCGGTGATTGAACGTAGTGAAAAAAGAAATAGATTGGAGCAACGAGTTCAATTCCAAGCTTTTGAGCCAGCAAAAGGAATGCGGTAGGGCTGTTTTAATTCTCTTAGTAGGTTTAAAAAAAATGCCAGGAAGCGAAGGTGACTTACAAGATATTCGCTACGGTGAGAGCGTTTCCGCGACGGTAACTTTCAATTGTCCAGATGGTTGCAAATGGTATGGCATTGGCAATAGAGCTCAGCATGTCCAATTTCACCTCTGAGAAGGTTTTCGTCACTGGAAATCCCTTTGGTTCTGGTGTTTTCTTCCAGAAGAACCAAAGAGCGATGAGAATTAATGGCAATGCAAGCTGGGCTCTTCGCTTTCGATTCTCCTCCTTTCCAATACCAGAGTTCGTACTCCAAGGCATTGTCCCTTCCAATGCTCTTTTTGGCATCGGCAGACAGTCCAATTTCGTAGCTCCAACCTGAACCTTTGCACCTCGGTCGGCAAGAATATCTCCTAAGCGTGGAATTATAAACATAGATGCGACCCAATCACCCGTCGTAGCAAGTGCTTCTACACGAGTAAATTTGTTTGCTGCTTTCACGATCAAATTTGCTCTTACGTTACGTTTCTGATAATAGAGCGATAAAGCGCTGTTGATATCTTCAATAGCAGGTTTACTGCCGTCGTCTCTCAGCGCTTTCGCTAGACTATTAGCCATTTCTGCTGCACTTTCAATTGCACAATTTGCTCCTTGGCCAAGATTTGGTGTCATCTAACGAATCTGTATTAGCACAGAAAGCAATTCTCGTCTTGAAGATTTGGGCACAAACCTTGTGTATGGAATCTCCAAGACATGCAACGCGATTCCAATTCCAGTGTTCATTCTCCATTTCCTCGATGGTGACAAAATTTGCCACGATACGATTTTTCCACACTTCGGAAAGGAGAATGTTGCCCGATACGTGATGATGCATGTATTTTGCTACATGATTAGTTTCATCGCCTTTTTTATAGCGCGGAATGCCATCACCAAATGTTCTTTCTTCATTCTTGGTGAACAGAAACCAATATAATTTTCCATCCACGCCACCAAACAATAGAGTCGAAGCGCCCTTTCCTGAACTGCGATGCGTATGTCCGATTTCCAATCCTGGAATTGGTTTAGAGATTCCGAATAAACAACTGTATTCTGCCGAAAGAGCAATTTCATCTCTTTTCAACGCTTCAAGATCTTTTGTCGTTCCCTCCTTTGCGATCTGTCTTCGCATTTCTGATCTTATAGTGCTATGGATGCCATCTGCACCTGCAATCACATCTCCAGAATACCTTGATCCATCTTCGCAGATTACAACCGCTTCTTTACTATCTTGTTCAATTGACCTGACATATTTGCCAGTCAGAACTTTCGATTTATCGGGAAGGTGTCGATACAAAATTTCCAAAAGTGTCTCCCTTTCCAAGAACGTTATCGTGTAACCCAATCTATCCCAAATCAGTCCTTCTATCTAATCTCACTGCAATCTACCTTCTCAAATTGAAAATCACATACCTCTTTCCCGTCAAAATCGGCGCATCAGTTTCAGAAAGCAACCTCCCGTTCTCATCCCATGTCTGCATAAAAACACAAGGTTCAATGTTTTCCGAGACCGCATCAAACATTCCCAATTGATCTAAAATTCGTGATCCATTAGGCATCAAACTTACTGAAGCACCTACTTGTGGCGCTATATCGTGGCGGCGCTCGAGAATGATGTAGTCGATTCCATAGCGTGATAGACAGTGTGCGAGGGTTAGGCCTGCGATCGATCCGCCTACTATTACAACTTTCATTTGGGAAGTTTGAGTCATGATAGCAATGTTGATTGAAGGATTGGGTCTGGATATTGTTTTTTTCTTGTCATTTATGCTATGGTCTACGAAGGATATGTTCATTACATACGTGCGTGAGAAATGATGACTACTATTCGCACCTCCTTCCTCTGCCGGTACTTACTTAAACCACGAGATCCCCGCCATCAATTAAAAGTAACTCAAGATCGAGTCTTACAGATAGACCGGCTTTGCTTGCGTTGATTCATACGCTCTCGAACTCTGAGATGTGGGTCAATATCCATGGTAGAATTGAACATGGAATCCGAAGATTAACCATGGAAACTCATTCGGAGACCGAAGGTTTGTCTTTGGGATACGGTCACCGAGCCGGAGACGTTTAAGATGCTTGAGGATGGCTGATACGAGACATTAAGCATAAGGTATTTAAAAGTATATTTTTCATGATTCTGGCTACACCAGCCTACACCGGCATTCAAGGTGACCTGGTGTTTTTTGTCACGTGATTGCGAAAGTACAAAATGATGGTCATGATGGCAGGCGGTGGATATCCCATAGCGATTGCTTGCTTGATTTTCTCATTTCTGCCAATTCCCTGCCAGCTACGTTAGTCATGTGACAACTACAAACGCATTTCTTGTCTGGAAAACTATCCCTGCACCTCCTGGATATTGATGTGGAGTTTTGGTGTCTATATATGTAGCATCAAAAATCAAAGGATTCAAGCAAAGTTGGCTACTGTGAGAAAAGTAAAAATTTTAAATAGATACATGATCAACCTCCCCACACTACTACAACGAGACCAATGTGATATCCGGGAAGAAAGATAGTATCATGCTTTCATTACTTATTCTTGGCAAGTCAAAGAGCCTTACTTTCAGGCTCATCTACATTTGTTTACCTAATTCAACATATTGAATAAACCACACGGACCCATTTATTCAAGTGAACTGAATATCTATGGAAGTGAATACAAGATGAGTTGGGTCAACAAGATAAACTACATAACATTAACCAAGTATTAAAACAACAAGGATTTCAATCAATATCTGAGCCGCGTTACTTCCTCTATCACCCCTTTCTTATATCATAAATCTTCTTCGCCAATGAATCCGCCGTCAAATTTAAGCTCATGAACTCTGATGCTGCAATATCAGCCCCCAGAGTCTTATAACACCACGTTCTTAAGCTCGTTCCAATCATACTATCCATACCAAACCTGACTACTTCAGTTCCGGGGTCAATATCTTCAACAGCCACATTGAATGTCTGGGAAAATTTCTCTGTTATCATCTCCAAGATATCGGGTAACAAAAGTCTGCGTTTATTTTGCCCAGGACCAGTTTCGTTTCCTGATTTCTTGGCCAGAACCGCGTTAAAAACAGGTCCAATACGTGGCTGTCTCCAAAATGGTATGCTATCAATGTCGAGATTTGCACTCAATTGGAGGGGCTCAACGCCGGTTACGATGAAGCTGTTGGCCAATGGATCCAGGTTCCAGGATGATGAGGGGGCTTTCATCATGGCAGTATCGATGAGATCAATGACACCAGCTTCGTTGATGGTATGAACTCCTGTTCTAGCTAGACCATCTTCGATTCTCTCATTTTGACTCACAAATCCAACTTCGGTGACGACGGTAAGTGAGATGGTGGTTGCTGGTAGACCTTTACTTTGACGGTATCTCGCAAAGAATTCGAGGAAAGAATTTCCTGCGCAATAATTACTTTGTGTTGGGAAACCAGATAAAGCAGATGATGATCCGAGCATGACAAAGAAGTCTAGAGAGTGGCTTGCAACGGCATTGTGAAGATTCCAAGTTCCTGTGACCTTAGGACGAACGGCGTATTCCCAGCTATTCAGGTCATGGCTTGTAAAAAGTCGATCCTGTTTCATAATTTTAGTATTTCACTCATAAAACCCCACATTTCAGTCAACTTACATCTAAAGCCATTACACCTTGCACAACACCGAATAACGGACCGGCAGCCAAGTCAACTGCTTTTTGGACGTCGGAAATTCTCGTAACATCTCCTTTCACTACATCCACAGTGATTCCATCATTTCTAAAATCTTTAATCATGGATGCAGCTTCAGGTCTGTCTTCACCAGAGCGCCCAAGGAAAATCAAGTGACGAGCGCCCTTTTCAACCATGTGACGAGCCAAACATCGACCAAGGCCTCCAAGACACCCAACAAGTAGGTATGAACCATTTGACTTGAAAGCAATTGACTTCTTCTTCTTCGCAAACTGAGACGCGTCTGATTAGCACAATCTTGAATGAATTATGGAATAACTTACATTGATCGTCTCAGTGTCAAAGCTGACAACAACCCTTCCAATTCTACTGTTTTTGCCAAACTCTTCAAAAGCCTGGCCAATTGCAGAGACAGGGAAAACCGATAGATTTGGGAGGGGTTGGATCTTACAATCTCGATAGTATTGCATAATTTCGCCCAAGATCCTATTGATGTCAGTGTGAATAGATCCCGTCGGGAATGTGTTAACTTACTGAGAAATAAGATCCGGCTTGTGTTCGAAAACAAGAACCAAGTCCATGGCAATAAAAGAAGCGCCTCTCTTGAAAGGACTCATGTCCAGTATACCTTGATCTAGGATATCGGTCTGTCCGAGCTCAATATGACGACCGTGGTGTCCTATACAGTTCCAGGTGGCTCTCAATTGCTCACGAACAAGCGAGTTGAGGGATACATCAACTCCACGGCCACCTGTAGTCTGCATGATTTCAGCTGCAAAGCTTGCATCTTTCGATGATAAAACATGATCATCCTGAAGACCATATTCTTGCATCAAGAATTTCTTCTTTTCTGGAGTTCCAACAGTAGCAAAAATTTCAGCACCAATCATTTTTGCGATCTGAATTGCCGCAAGTCCTACACCTCCAGTAGCAGAGTTAATGAGTACCGATTCTCCTGGTTGAAGCTTGGCAAGATATATTAATCCATATATAGCAGTTAAGAATGGCATCATAATACTTGATATCTGATCGAAGGTCTCCTCAGGTTTAAGTTTCTGGAGGAATCTGGAGTCATATCTTTCGATGTTACGGAAGTTTCCAAAACCAGCCCAACTTACTCGGTCGCCAATGGCAACATTTGTGACCCCAGTACCGATGCTTCTGACTATACCAGCACCTTCAAGACCCAGTATTTCCGAATTATAAGTTCCTTGCAGCGTTGCGAAATCCTATAATAGTTTAGCTTTGAGAAACCAGAAAAGTCTTAGTCTTTTACCTTCATGTTCAAACCGACTGCTTTCACATCTACCTCGACTTCTCCAGGTTTAAGTGAAGCTTCCAACTCATCGTCCTTAAAGTGTATCGTATCAAAAATACCGACGCGCTCGATCCCCAACCTGATACATTTTTCTGGCTCATATGGGATCATTTTCGGCTCCGACTCAACCCCAGCAACAAACTGTTGATCCAGTAGAGGGTCTTGAGAAAGTCTGCTGACATAGAAAATACCATTTTTGACCATAAACTCTTTATCTTCGTCTCCACTGTCAGCTGCATCCAGAATGGTTGTTATGTTGGAGATAGTCTGTATAGGATCTCGATGATCCAAGTCCAAAGTTTTAAAAGTAAGAGTTGGATGCTCTGTCTGAAGACAGCGGCCTAGTCCAATGACTATTCCAGCATTAGGATCGCCTCCCTCCAGAAGATTGCCATGAGTAACCCATAGCATATTTGTCGCTCCACTTGCGATTGACTGTATTGTTGCTAGCTCTTGGCTCGTCAAAGATTCATGAAATATACTAGACTCGGACTCCACAATAAAAACGTAGGTTGCTTTTGTATGAGCGTGGGATTTGAAGTCTTGTAGGGAAATTGAGGTGATTAACCTTCCACTCTTTGACAATCCAGAATAGATATGAGAGTCGAATACCGTTGGAGAAGTTCTTGTGACGAGTACAATCTCTCCTGCTGGCAGATCAGAACTGGTCCTTTGATGGGGACTAACTAGCAAAGACTCTTTGTCTTCAAGAAGTGTGTAAAGTCCAGCCAATTGAAGATCTGTTTTGATTGTATTGCCATTCTTGAACTCTGAACTATAAAGCAGCATGTTTCCACCTGGTGTTAATAGACCTTTGAGTTTTGTTAAATCAATCTCGTCGCTAGGAAATTGAGGCACAATGAGCAAATCAAAGAATGTCTCCGGGACATCGTCTAAAACCAACTTCTGCACTACAACACCAGGGAAAGCTTCATACTTGACTTTTATTGGCTCTATATCAACGTCGCCGAGAGCCATAACAGTATAAGTCTTGTACCGACGAAGGGATGAACCGCTTTCAAGAACTCTGTGAAGGTTGTCGGAAATCATTGATTCTGTATTTAAAATCTCACAGATGTTAAATCCAGGACGTTTGTGGACAATAAGATCGAGTAGAGAATTATCAGTCAAGTTGGAGACCATCTTATCGACATCTGGCTTCCATACAGTGCGAAGGTATGGGTGACGATCTATCGTTCCAAGGTCATCAAGGGCTTCCGAATACTGAGTACATGACAGCTCTTCAATCTCAAACAATGGCTTGCCTTCAGGTGAGAAAAGCTGACACCACCCATTCATGGCACGTAGACTGAAAAACTCTGCATGTGCAAGGACCTTGCCTTTTCCAGGGGTCAATTGAGTGATGTGATCATCATCGGCCCAGGACCATAAGGAGACATTAGCCATTGACGTTGGAACAAATGATCTTTTAAGCCGGCTAAGGAGCCTTTGTGTGCTCCAATCAGTGCAACTTGAATGCAGGTGTCCATCGCTGCGGGGTGTACGATATATGCGGAATCATGCTCAGAGACACCATCAGGACAGAGCTCAGTGTCCGCAACGGCTTCTTCCAGAGCTGGATTGGTACGGATATTACTTAACCCATTAAAAGCTGGTCCGTAATTCAGCGAAACTTTTTGGAAACCACGGTACCAAGTTCGAGCAGCCTTTGGTTCTTGTAACTTACTTTCATCGAATCTTGGAGCCATGGTAACAGCTTTCTTCTTTGTGACAGTTCCGACACAATGATTCGTCCAATTGCCAGCTTGAATAGACGATATTGTGAACTCCGCAATCGTTTTGGACGTAATTGAAGCAGTTATGGTGGCGAATTTCATTGTGGTAACAATCTCCACTTGGGATCCAGAGGGTGGGATGTTTAATGCAGATGTGATGCTAATGTTGGGAAAGAAATATCGGAACGCCCCATTGACCGTCAGTTTGTCGTGGAAAAATTGACGAGCAGCCTCGGTTGCAATTGCTAAGTAGCCAGTTCCGGGCAGCACAGGTTGCGGTCCAAGTTTATGCTCCTCTAACCACGGGAAATTCTTAGAGTCAAGCATATTCCTCCATTGTCTTTGTTCCACTGAGGACCCTGGAAGAATGGCACCCAGTAGGTCGTGGTATTTGAATTTCCGTAAGCGATGTTCTTCACTTGGTCTATTTTTGTTCCTTATCTCACCGGCAGAGTAGTTCCATGAGAACCTAGGAAGATCAACAATCGGCAAGCCAGTTTTTGTAATTATAGCGCCACCCTCTCGTTTTTCAATGGCGTTGACGCGCTCGACATTCACCGAAAATCCTCTCATAGTAAGAGTTCCAGCAAGATCCAGAAGACGAGTCACAGAGCTCTGTCCACGTACTAAGGTGGAAGCATAATCCAAGTCTTTGGGTGTTATCCCGAGGTTGTCTCTTATCTGTCTCAAAGGACCAGCTAGAGCAGAGTGAGGGCCAATTTCGACAAATTGTGAAATTCCAAGATCTGCTGCCAATGCAGCTTCAACCGCTTCAGTGAATCGTACTGGAGACTCCAAATTCTGACGCCAATAGCTAGGTCCTGGTTTGAAATTGGATGGCATTTGTTGAGCAGTTACGGAAGAGAAAAATACTGGATTCTGCACTTGAGCTTGATTCGTGGTTTGAGATGCGCCAAATCTAGAAAGTGCTTCTGACAAGCGACTTTCGTAGTCATTGCCGATATTCAGCATGTGATGTGAGTGATAAGCTCTACCGCCAGTCTTCAGCTCACGAACGAATACTCTGTCAGATTCTAACTTTTTCTGAACTATGGTAGCAGGCTCAATATCACCACTCAATGTAACACTGTTAGGCGAGTTATAGCATGCAATACGCAGTCCGTCGGTGAGATAAGGTTGTATTTCTTCAGGGCCGGCGCCAACAGCCAACATAGTACCTTTCACTTTGAGAGTGCCAACCCCTCGTCCTCGGTAAAATGCGGAGATAATAGCTTCCTCGGCTGTTATGAGGTTTGCAGCATATGAAGATGCAATTTCACCAGACGAATGACCGATACATGCAACTGGCGTTACATTCCAAAGTCGAAGAAGCTCAACAAGAGCTATTTGAACGGCTGTGCAAACAGGTTGTGAAATCTCGACATCGTTGATCTTACTGGTTACTGCAGGCTCCATCAGGACATCTTCAATAGTCCAATCGGGAGAATCATCCCCTAGAGACTGCAATGAACGGTCAAGCTTCCTTATCGTGTCGATATATGATGGGAATGTCAACATCAGTTCTCGACCCATCTGTGCGTTCTGAGCTCCTTGCCCTGTAAAGATGAAACCAATGTTTCCACCCTTTCCCCTCTTTCCGAACGTAATCTCGTGTTCCATGAGATCCTCCTCTACATCATCTTCTCGTGCTACCGTGTATGCGCAATTGAAGAAATTCGATCTTCGACAGCCAAGAGTGTACGCAAGGTCTAGTATGTTATAATCTTCTGCCACGTTACGACACCTTTCAATGTTACTTTTCAACGTAGAGATATCATGAGCAGAAAAAAGAAGAAGAAATTCTGAACGGGATACAGCTCGCGCCTGCGAGGCAGATTTCGTTCCCACCATTTCGACTGACTCAGATTCTTCACTGCTAGCTTCCAGATCCCTCTCATCCTGACCCCGTCGGGTGTAAGTCAATTTCCCAGGTAGGACCGAGTCGGCGGCTTCGACAATTGCATGGGCATTAGCTCCTCCATAACCGAATGAGTTTATACTTGCGCGACAAGTAGAAAAGCCTTTTGGCCAAGGTGTCATTTTTTGAACGACCTCTATCCTTCCACCCTTGAAATCGACTATTGAACAGTCAGTGCATGATCTTAGTAGCTGCACTGTACAACTTACTTTTGGGATTCAATTTTTTTATACCAATTGTTGCTGGTATCGTGCGTTTTTCCATAGCTAAGCATACTTTTATTATACTTGCCAAGGCACTGGCTGCTTCGCTGTGTCCAACATTGGTTTTCACCTAGAAGATTAATTATTATAAATTATACACTCAGACAATATAACATACCGATCCAACAAGAAGTTTCTGTCTGTCCGTGCCGTTAACGAAAACATTTCCAACACCCTTAATCTCTATTGGATCTCCAACTTGAGTACCAGTGCCATGTGTCTCGAAATATGAGGTATCTCTTGGGTCCAGACCGGCGAATTCATAGGCTGTACGCATTACAGTCTCATGTCCCTTCGCACTTGGCTGGGTGATGCCACTGGTTTTTCCATTCGCATTCGTAGCTGTGCCTCTAATTACACCACGTATAGGATCATTATCCCGAATGGCATCAGACAAACGCTTCAAAAAAATTGCACCAACACCTTCAGCACGGCCATATCCATCAGCTGACTCGTCGAAAGTATGACAAGTAGATGTAGCTGATAGAACACCAACTTTCTCTGTACTCATCTGGGTTTCTACGGCGAGCATCAGATTTGTACCACCAACTACCGCAGCATCAATTTCTTTCGTCTGTAGCGCTCTGCAGGCAATATGTAGAGAGTAAAGAGAGGAAGAGCAAGCCGTGTCAATTGTGAGACTATTGGCACACTCTCAGTTGTGCACCTAGAAATGAGTTGACAGGAAACTTACCTCGGACCACAAAGATCAAAAAGATAACTAACTCGGTTGCTAATTATACTGTAACCAGAACCTAATAAACTATAAGGCCTCGGATTGTTGTGATCTCGATGACCTTGAAGGTAGTAGTCGGAAGTGAAATTTCCAATATAACAACCTGTATTGGAGCCCGACAATTGGCTCAGCGTAATCCCACCGGACTCAAAAGACTCGTAAACACACTCCAGCAACTTTCTTTGTTGAGGATCCATTGCCTTCGCCTCCTCTTGTACAATACCGAAAAACGCCGGGTCAAATTTCCAAATATCCTCATTAATGAAATAACCACCTTCTGGAGTTATAGAACCAGGTCGAGCCTTGTTTGCATGAAAGCCATCAATGTTCCAGCGTGATAATGGCGGCCTCGAAAGTCCAGAACGTTCCTCGGCAAGCATCTTCCAGAACTCATCTGGGGTATCTGAGTCGCCTGGGAAGCGACATCCTGAACGTCTATTAGCTACTTCGTTTCTTTCAAAAAACACATATAATAACTTACCCATGCCAATGATGGCAACAGGCTCTGGAAAAGACATGGTTATGATAATTGTAAGAGTAATGTACGTAAAAAATCAACAAATGAACATAACGATTGATAGAAAGTAGAGAATACTGGAAATCAATTTGTGATAAGATATCTGAATTCGATGAAATCTAGAAATCGTATTAGGTAGATGCAGATCTGTGGCAGGAACCATGAGCTCCTTGTGGGGAAGCATCGTCTCTACATAAAGCTTATTCACCTTTCTCCATGTTTGCGGTTTCGTGTGGCCTTCCAACGGTGATGTGGGTCCTCGGTCTCCGTTCTTCCAGGTGTAATGTTACATCGGATTCCGATTGTTCGAGAGCACGGGCAGCTTTGAGGAAACAAAGCAACTGAACTCAAATTGAAGCGTTAGAATCGAACAAAGTATTCAATCTTGGCTTCACTTTTGTAGTCTCATGCAATATTCTTAAACTTAGATTTTTGTAATCTATAGGCAATATAATATATAATAAAAATACAAGTATTCGCGTCTGCATATGAATATCCCTCCACGCTTCCAGCTACTCTCATGTCATGACTAATCGCCAAGCCTCCTCAAGGTTGAAATTCAAAACTGTGCCAACTTCGACGTCAAGAACATTTATCCTGGTGTTTTGATTGTGTCTATTCATAAAGCCGAAATTACTATGCTGCTATTCAGCTTGGAATCCAGTAATATGCCAGTCTCTGGTTTGGAATCTAGCAGCTTTAGAGCTTCCCTCAATTTCGTACTCAACTCCGGTAGCTACAAAAATTCACGTCAGTCAATCAGAAACTGGAGGCTCTAGAGGTAGCAACTCACATATGAAGGAGTGAAGATGCTAAAATGATCACCATCAACTCGAAGCTCTTCAACTATAAAGTTGTACGGATACTTTTGCCAACCTAAAGCATATTCTTCACGAAACCAGTCGACCTCTACAACCTTCTCTGTCGGTACTACCTTGAGCGCCCTTATAAAAACAGCGGGTGGCGGTCGTCTGAATCTCGATCTATCGTCAACATGCATGTACCTTTTAAAGTGAAAGAATGAAGAGACTGTACCTTCCGTTTTCCCAAGTTGGCAACTCCCAGACTGAGAGCGCATGGATAATATCATTCACAGCTTGCTGCTGTGCCAATCTACTCTTTGCTGTTTGATCCGGTACGACTGGAATATGAAACTGAACTGGTGGTGAATCCTTTGGTCGCCAGTCCGGAAAATCAGGATATGGCGTATCTAACAAGATTATTCCAGCGACACAAAGTTCTGGAATATTCTCCAAGCACTTTGCAACTTGAATCGCTATTGACCCGCCCGCAGACCAACCTGTAGCAAACTTGAGTGATGTTATGTAGGTAAGAAAGTGGGAAACTCACCACCAAGTAGGACTTTGCCTCTGGAGACTTTTCCCCGGATGTATCCAGCATACAATTCGCCCATTCCTTTGATACCATGTTCAAAAGTACCGCCATCATTGAGGTGTGGATATAATACTCCCCATACGTTGCGGTTTAAGCTTTCAAGGAAGTAATAGGGTAAAACCGTTCCACCACCATCATGAAATAGGAATAATGGAATTGCAGATTTGTATCGCCGAGGGGCTTTCTGGATTAAAACTGGATTCTCCATAATTTATAATAGACTATATTTAGGAAGAAGTTGAATGCATTGTAAGAAAACTCCAAGAACTCTTGATGATTTCGATTCGGGGACGAAACAAGACAAAATACCAACTAGAAAGAAGATGGGAAATTTTTGATCACCAGCAAGGTGAATATTCGGGTTTAATGACCGGTGGCCGGAAACCCAGACAGGTTGTGGATATCCCGCGGACCTTGGAAAGTGGCTCCCAGTTCATTTACATCACAGAATACAGAGAGCACAGCCCCATCAGACATTGCACAGTTCAAAAGCTCTGCGGTCTTTGACGTTCAATGAAAATCAATTTTCTACCCATTTTCTCGAAAAATGTCTAGCAGCACTCCCCCCAATCAGGCAATGCCTTCCGCGACCGAAACTTTAATCACTGAGTTGACGCCACTAGATCACCTCATGCCTCGAACATATGTAATCAGTATGAATTGCAGTTGGCCAATCTCTCGCCGCAGTAACATTGAAGATATCCATAAACACTTGAAGCGAGGTTTGGAGCAGACTATAAAGGAAATCCCTTTTCTTGGCGGGTCTGTCGTCCCTACGGGTTCTCCTGGAAAGTTTTGCATCGAAACTTTACCTGGAGATTTCGAAGGAAATCAATTGATATTCAATGATCTCCGTACCGGAAGTAGGAATTCATGGCCACATTCATACAAAAATTTAAGAAAGACAAGGTTTCCGAGTACTCTCTTCACAGACGACTGCCTCAGTCCAGTGAAAGAGTATATGACTCGGGAAAGACTGCCGGTTATAGCTGCTCAGGCAAACTTCATTGATGGAGGATTGATTCTTCATCTGAGTGTCCTTCATACAGCATGTGATGTACTTGCCTGGAATAACATCCTCTCCATTCTATCGAAGAACGTGAAAGCTTCTTGGCCCACCGAAGCCGAAGTGTCCCTCAATGACGACTTGCAAGACTACAAGGTCTTACCTAGCTTTCTTGATAGAACCCCACTCATGGGCGGAAATCTCAATGTTGAGCGAATGGATGTTCGAGAATACAAGCTACAACTTGCCAATTCAAAGCTCGAAGATCCTAGAAATCACCTTATCAACCCTCCCCCAAAGTCAATTACTGAGATGGAAAATGCCCTCTTTTGCATTTCCAACTCAAAATTGGGAGAGCTCAGAGATTCTATCTTAGCAGAAGGTTCAGCGGCATCCTGGTTAACAGTGAACGATGCACTGGCTGCGTTAATGTGGTGTTGCGTCAACCGTGCCAGAATATCGAACGGGAGTCAAAAACTTTTACGGGGAAATTTATCTATTGCATATGATGGTCGTACAGTTCTTGATCCACCACTGCCCAAGAGATTCATGGGAAATTCCTCTCTGGGGTTTCCCATCACCCTTGATATTCATCCGAAGTCCGTTTTTGAAGCAGCACTTGCTATCTCCGAGTCACGAAACGATTTTAATGATAAGCATATAAGAGACATTATCGGGTTCCTAGATGGCTTGGGCGATATTACACAGGAACGTGTATCATATGCCAAGACTCTAAATCCTATTTTGGTCATTAGTAATTTGAAAGATATGGGGTTTTATGAGCAGGACTGGGGTGGAAGTTTGGGATTTCAGGATGCTTTGAGGATGGCCAATCCTTTCTTAGACTGCATTCCTAGAGTAGTACCGATGCCGGCACAGCGGAATGGAATTGTAGATTTGATTGTTTGGATCGAGAAATCAGCAGCCAAGAGATTGAGGGAAGACGAAACTTGGAACAAATGGATTACGCCTGTATTCGAGTAAGTAATAGAAACCAAAAATCGTCATTGGACATTTCGAAGGGTTGTGGACATTGAGAGCGTGGGAATTGTTGTAATTATCTGGCGTATTCAAGTTTATGTTTAGATTTACACAAATATATTTCTCTACAAATACTGTAGATATTTCAATATCCAGGGGTTTGCGATGTATAAGTGTTGGCTTAAAAGCTGGTCGACTTCTCTGGTCGTAAGTGTAACGAGAATCTGCTGGGCACGAAAACTGAACTTGATAAGATTTAGTATATCTTTGTAGAGTCTCAAAATATAGCTGCATATCACTGCAAAGTCTTGTTCTATCACGACTCCCCGATTTCACACAGTTATATCTGAATCGATATGCATTCTTTTTGAGTCCTTGGGTTGGTAGCCTAGCAAAAATGGTACTATCCCACTCTATAGATTAGTACAACGCATTGTACAAAAGCATGTGCACCAAACGATTGTGATCCAGATAGCTTATGACTGCCAGGCATTTTACAGAAAGAGACATTTCACTTAAACAGTGGCATGACGATAATATTGAGTGAAACCGAGAGATAAGTTGTACCATTGACTCAAAGCTCGGATTGAAAACTCCAAGTATATGCAAACCGAGGCATAAGAGGATACGTGCGAGTATAGCAGCGGTGGCCGATGGCATACTGAGAACACCGGCCATAAGATAAAAGCTGAGGTGCACTCGACCTCCAAATTATCTCGAACATCTCACAACTCAATTTCTCAAATTTACATACATCTCACTCCAAGGCATCTGTATTCGACCGAGTATACAATGACAAGCCACAGATCCGAATCGAAAGCAACGATCAAAGTCCGACCACCTCCATCATTCATCGGCGGGGTGCAAGACAAATCATGGACTCCTACTCCAGAGAACTGGCTCTATGGAGCGTGGTACATGACCCATACGTCTCAACAATATTACTGGGAGCGTACGAAGAACTTTGTCATTCAATATGAACCGGTCATGAATGGAGTCTGGCCCTGTACAAACCAAGAGCTGGTATCTCTTACTCCCCTCAACCAGCCAGAACGTATTTACACCGCCTTTGGAATTGACTCCCCCATTGCTGGCCTCGATGATGCTTGGCTGTGCCAATGTACAGGACATCTGAGCCATATATCAGACCACGTTGCATTTCTGGCCTGGGGTGCCGACTCGCAAAATGTGGACTGGGTCGTGCTGTATTCAACTCCACTGCCAGGAGCTACAGTGGGTCTTCCTGCACAAGTTGCGATTATGAGTCGCGAACGTTTCGGTCCGGACAATACGATGGTGGAAGCAATCAAAGAAGCTCTTTGCGCTGCGGGGAATTCGGAGTTGACCAAGCTGGTGGATAATTTGCGGCCTTTGTTGCAAGAAGATCTCGAAAGTGAGCGGCCGACCTGTGAATACCATGTGGTACAAAATGTAGATTCTTTGACTAGATTCTGATATATCTATAACATAGATAACAGAAAAACATAAAATGAAATTGCTAATCAAGTTTATTAGCCATTCACAGAACGTCAGAATGACATTTCGTGGATGTGGTTATGAAGGCGATCTGCGCGACTCCTTCGTCTTGCGCCACTTACATATTGTAGCACTCAAATAAAGTTTAGGGCTAACTCCGGGAAACCAAAATGCCACCTTTACTACTAATCAGCAGCATTGATTATCAAGGGAGAAGGAAATCTGCAATGTGTAACAATGAAGTAGAGTTTGACTTGAAAATATAAAGTGGAAAACAATCTGCGTGAAAACGGGGGGCTTCCTGTGAATGCAATGATTACCGCTCGTTTTAAGATTGGGAGGATAATGTTTGCTTGTTTGAGATCAGTTGGGGGAGACTCCGACATGCATGTATTTTTGAAGGGAAAGATCCAAAGACGGAAACAATTCATCCCAATGACATTCTAGTGTGAAGTTTAAACAAGATGAATCCTGACAGTGTCAAATTGTGTCACAGTTTTTATAGCTAAATTTCTGAGGACTGATTAAGGTTGTCGACTACCGGTAGCTACCGGGAGCGATTGGAATGGCGACACACTAATTGGGTTTAAACCTTATGTGAAATCACGGAAAACCAAAACACCGATCCAGGCACTTACAACAGATAACCACCCCAATTCCTTAAATAACGGTCAGCCCGGAAATGCTTGGCTGTCTGTATCTAATTTAGTTCGACATATATGTAATTGTCAGGGTCTGGATACGCACGAAATACGAGATTAGCGCCTGTTTGACGATCAGATTTCAAGACATCTGAACCAAATTTTTGAATCATAGCGATTATTTTACAGACGTGATTTCGAATTCGTGCTGAACTGTCATTTTCGTGAATTGTTATACAGACGAGGATTTCAGGAAATGTGATTGTCAAATGGGGTCTAAGTTTCAGATCTGTCTGTTATTCCTTAAATAGAATATGTGACTGCGTCTATAACTGAGGAGCATTAAGAAGGTAAATAAATGAATTGAGTTATGTTATACCGCCTTCGTTAGCCAGCCAGGATCACATTGTTCAGGTAGAATGACTCTCTTAGTTGCAGAAGAAAAGCGGTGTAGTAAAGTTATTCCATATACCTCCGTGGAGGCTTTCTTTTAAGGCTACATAGGTATTTATCACTGGTGAAAACCTTATTGATTGTAATCAGCAGGTGAGTGACATGCTCATTATTAATGCCAGTCGCGAAAAGTAGATCCAAATACCATCTAAAACCCTTGACTCTACTTTTAGGGTTTTGGTCGGGCGTCCGTTATTGTTCTAGATAGCATACGCGTTGTTTTGAAGACCGAATTATCCATGTGCGTGTCATCATGCCGGTATGAGCTCGGTAACCCTAAATTCTGGGGAAATATGACTATGCTTGACAGGTATGATTGAAACCACAGATTTGCAAGGGGGCCATGCTTCAAGCGAGTTACCATGATATGCCCAGGACTTTTTTTTGTTCAACGCCAATATCACTGCCTGTGTTAGCTAGTAAAGCGTGAATAGGGTATCCCCTGTTTAAACTAACTACATTAGAATAAATATAGACTATACACATCAGTAATCAACATTGTGAAGGCAATAAGATCTACGGTTCAGATGGTAGAAAGGCTCTTTCATATCATCTTGTGGACCGCCCACCAGGTTGTAAATGGCTACAGTAGATGCGAAAGTTAATCAATTTGACCATGACGTCCCGCAGGCGTGGAGATTCAACATGCAAGTGGGTTATGCGGGTGAGCCACTTAAGACATTTGCAAAGAGAAATCGAAAAAGATAACGATAGCTTCGATACGGATATCAACTTGATTATATTCTCCGATGACCGATTGTCAAGAAAGCACTCAAGCATACTTTGGTTCATACATCAATTCTACTTCTTCTGCCTCTAAATCAGTCAAACCACTCAAACCACCCCTCATGTCACCGTAGGTCACTTTCTTTCTTTCTATCTCCAACTTTTTGCTGAAAATTATGTTAATTATGGCTTCAAACAACAGACCACAAAAACCTCCAAAGCTACGACATGCTTGTAATGAATGTCATGCATCTAAGGTCAGAAACTATTAATACCCTCCCAGAACCGTTTAAAATATTCATTTGGAGTAGGTCAGATGCAGTGGAGAACGTACAGGATGTCGACGGTGTGTATATAATCAACAAAAATGCACCTATAGTGTCTCCATGGTGGGAAAAGTGCAAGGCCATCGGAGGCGAGCTTCAGTCCTTAAAAATACAACAGTGACAGGAACAGCTCCTAGGCATGTTAATCCAGATAATCATTACCCATTCGAGAGCGAAAACAAATGGCTAACAAGTTCTGTATTAGATCTGGTAACCAGTCATTAAATATCAACACTTCAACAGAGATAATATCTGTGGCAAGCGCGGATGTCATACATAATGAGGCCAACGGCAATAATTTGAACAGCAAGCCGAACGATGTACCTGTGGAAAGTAGTGAGGCCATAACTTCTTCACCTACGCATTGCAGCATTCTTCCTGGGGAAAACAACGACAAAGTTACCACAAGCTCAGCACCAGAGAATTTCTCGACGAGCTTGGAAAGCATAGATACATCATCCTTAGAGACTCCAATAATTGAACACGAATTCTCATGGGATTTTAGTTCTGACGAAAGAGCTGATGTCCTCAACTCGCTTGCGCTCGAGAACCCCTCGAATGTAGATAGCATGAAGAATCCGGAATATGGAGACTTCGAATATGACTTTTCAATTCATGAAGTTCCTGCGACTACCAGCTCCCAAGATGATAGCAGGAGTCCCAAGAGGCAAATTGCTGGTCCAATACCGATTTCACCAATTCCTACATCCCATCCTTCTCGGAAAAGGACTCATTCAGACTCGTCAGAAAAACAATCTCAACACGCCCAAAATGATTTGCGATGGAGATCCCAATCCCAATCATATACGCATCCAACAATTTCAACACAGCATCATAATCATGGCTTCTCTCGTGAGATGTATGAGTATCCGGAGAGTAATGCTTCCTTCGATGCAGATTGTGGTTTTGATCGAGGTTTCACCTGCCACTCTACCACGAGTCAAACGAATGTGAACCACCAAAGTATGAATCGAATGCCACAGACTACACATAATAACAAAATCTCATTTCCAGCCCAATCTCATTATATAGCCTCTCCTATACTTTCCTCGGTCACACAATATGAAGCTTCTTGGCGCTTCACATCAAAGTGCTTCATAATAATTAGCAAACTCCAAAAATTACTTCGAGATCCATCATCTCTATCTCTCGATGTGATTCTTGCTACCAACAAAAGTGCAGTATCTGAGCTGGCTCAAATATTTGACAGTACACTATCTTCAAACACAGCAAGAAGTGTAAGCCCGGAAGACTTTTTCTCTACTCACTCTGAACTTCAATCAGCTAATAGCTGTAATTCTTCACAATTGATGGATTTTACTCTTTTAATGATCTATATGATCACGCTAAAGCATATTCACGATCTCTACTCGCAAGCCTGCTTCATATTTACTCAAGACAACCATCGAAGGCACTCACCCTCTATTCCATCACCCCGAAACACACCCTCCAGCTCTAGTTCGCCATCCTCAAATCCTTTCGGACTTCCACAACTCGATTTTGGCACATTCAAAATCGACATTGCTGATCAAAGGAGACTATTTTCGGAGATCATAGCCATGGAGCTTGGAAATTGTCTGAGTGCTTGCACAAGACTAAGGAGTTGTTTCTTGATGCAGCCCGGTGATATAAGTGCTCCGACAGGGTTGATGGAAGAGACGTTTTTGGGTATCGAAGAGGGGTTGCAGATGATGATAAAGCAAGTCAAGATATGATTCACGAGAATTGGCCAAGGGAGTCAAGGTAGTGACATGATTTTAATGTGGCGTTTTAAGTTTCAGTTTTGCTTTTTAAATCTCGATCTGGGTGCGGAATGATTAGAATCAAGTTCAGACACTTCTTTTTTTTGTATCCATAGAAAGTCTACACAATATTTTATGATATACTATTACATATTGGACTATGGAATGAGTATTGGGTGTCGTGAATTAGCCTAATCAGTCATATCTGTCTTTGCATATTAATAGAAGTGTCTATGATATTTCATGATTACAAGACAAATCTTTAAATACTATTAAATCATCTATCTTTCATATTTTCCTCGATGTTACAAATTTTGGCTCTTGATTGGTTTTACTAGCCTCGTTCCATACACGATCAGAGTTGGCAAACGATTTTCAAGCTACAATGGCCCAGATTATCAACAATTCTAGGTGGTAATTTGACATCAACAACTTACTAGTCAGAGCATAGTACAAACCCTTAATTGTAATAGTTCCCGATCACAAAAGTATAGAAGCTGTATCATTCGTGAAATTATCTATAACTAGTGATGCACTGTTTAAAGATGAGAACCAGTGCTCACTACTCGAGGCTTAATGTTTATGCAATGCTATTTCCAATATTCTTGTTCTAAAATTGGCTATTATAAGCTTTGCCTTAAGAACAACCCCTCGAGATGCAGATAGAAAACGCAGTGAGGCATACTTCTGATTAGTTTATTTTATCTGCTCTATTCGAAAAGAAAGAAAGAGCGCTGAGCCATGTAATACTACATACATCCAACTCTCATAAAGACAGAGGTCTTTCTACAAGAAATGTTTCGTTAGTTATATGGAACTTTTGCATAAGGAAGCTGAGTGAAATAGATTCTATATGTCTTTTATATATACTTATCTCTCGAGACTTTGACATATACTTAATTAGTAGAATAGAAAGCCTCTTTCAAGAAGTATACTTTCCTCAACTGAATAATTAATAAGATATTGAAAAAGTTTTTTTTTTTTTACTACAGAGTATCATACTTTGATTTAAAATAGAATGAGTGGTATCTAGTAAAATAGTAGGTTACACAAAGTGTGTGTATCAAGAGGAGCCCTGTATCTAGATTCGA